TGTTTTCTCATGCCGCCTCCCCCATATTGATATTGGCAATTTAAGCAAACATAGTTGGTAGGGGGGGGGGGGCGGCTAGTAGTAGTAGTAGTAGTAGTAGTAGTAGTAGTAGTAGTGGTGGCAATAACAGTAGCAGCCGCTCTTTGGGGTCATTTGACTAACAAATACTAAAAGGCGTTAGTTTACCATCAACGTTCTCCTTCTGCTACCGTATCAAACCTCTCACCGGGTGTAGACTCCTGCGACATGATCCTAAAACTGCAACCCCTTTAGGTCCTAGAACTAAGCAGAAAATTAAATTCTTAACAATTTCTTGAGATCATACGATGTAATATAAACATAGAATAACTCCTAAGGAGTCCCTAAGCCCTAAAGCGAGACTTGCAGAAAAAAAAAAGCAAGCCAGGAGCGAGATTCTCTTCTTTGGAGATCCTTCCAGAGGTCCGGGAATGCTAAAAATATCTATGACCACTATTATTTTCGCTATGAGTACTACATAGGGTTTAGGGTTTAGGGTACATAGTAGCAATTATGGGTTCGTACCCAATGGTCCAGAGGCCTCGAAAATGTCGAGGATGGGTCCGTGGTCGATGGCCTCCCCTACCTGATGTGTGGCATTCTCAGAATTACTGTACTTGTTTCAGGGTCCTGAGACCACTGTGCAATTGCATGGGGTTTCTACAGGTGCCCCAGTTTCAGAAGAGTCTCTTTTTGCAGGAACAAGAACAGAGAGCGTCGGGAAAACGAGGCAAAGCATCACAAGAACGATGGCCACAAGAATCGTCCTCTCACTGGTGATGCTGCTAATTCTCCGTAATCACCTAACAGAATGTAATAGCAAACCCCGCTTCCCTCTTCCCTAATGAAAATCAATACTCTCCCAAATATATTGAGGTACTATATTGGGTGGCTGTTAGAGGGGTGAGGGGAGGGGTGGGGGTTGTCTAGGGTATTCTTAGGGGAAGGAGATTCAGTCTCAAGACAAGTAGAACTGCCAGACCAATAGATACGAGAACCATGCAAAGCGTGCTGGTATTGATGAGACGATCCGCGCAGTGATGGTGGCTTAGGCTTCAGGAGATAAGGGGTTAGGGTTATAGTCCTCCTTAAGTAGATAGAATATGGGGTATATGGGGATCCTTTTATGATATACCCAAAGCCACATTCNNNNACTTAAGGGGGACTATAAGGGTACCGAATGAAGTTTTGGCTATGGCTCTTTCGTCTCTGGCGGCACTGCAAATCAAGATCTCGGATTGCTCTTGCAGTTCACACGCACATGTGTTGCAGCCCCAAATGCAATGCTGAAAATTTGTGAGTTTGAGCGCCCCCCCCTCCACCCCCCCCCACCCCCCCCCCA